ATAACTATTTCACTCAGTAAGATGCCAATTTAAACGAGAGATATAATACGCTAGAAGAAGAACGTAATCAACATGAGGAAGAATGTAAACGTAGACAACAAGAGGATGAACAAAAAAGATTAGAGAAAGAGTGTAGATTACTAGAAGAAGAACTCAGACTTCTAAAAGAAGAGCAAAAACTGTTTGAAGAAGAATACAAACAACAAGATCCTAAACAAATCATCAGAAAGAAGGAATGTTCTAGATGCTTAAAGAATCTTGAAATTAAAGTCTTTTTGAAGATTACAGATCAATGTGGTCATGATGCTTATATATGTCATAAATGTGTAGGTGAATATATTGAGCGCGAACTTAATAAAGGAAACATCAAAATATTATGTCCTGAAAATAATTGCCGTAAAGTATTGAATGAGAAATATGTGAAAAAATTTGTCAATGATGAAGTATTTGAACGGTATGTTAATTAGGATATATATGAAAACAGGTGTTTATTTTCTTTTAAAATTTATAAAACTTCTATATTCTTTTTACAGGTATATATTAAATTTTGTATTATCGGAAACTCCTATTTTTAAATGGTGCTTAAATCTGAATTGTGGATCAGGACAAGACCATTATCAAGAATGTATATTATATTGTACATTTGTTTAAATACTCTTATCGACGCTATTATTCTATTCTTACTTTAAATCTATTTCCTTAAAGATGTTCCGATAATGATTTGTAATTTGTGTGGGCAAAAATCTTGTGTTGTACATGGACTTCTAATTGAGGCTGAGTGCGAAAGATGCGGTGAAAATGAAGAAGAAAGTAATCAAAGAAAGGAAGAACGCAGATTAAGAGAAGAAGAAGAACGTCAACGAAGAGAAGAGGATGAGCGCAGAAGGCATGAGGAAGAAGAACGTAGGCGAAGCCCTATAAAAAAAAATTTTTCAGAATATATTGTGCTTTTGTTAAGTTATTTACAATGTATATTAAAAATAGGTGCAATACTGTATAATGTATATACCAAAGCATGAAATCTAAAAAATTTAAATAATAATTATTGTATAAAAATATGCAATTCTATAAATATCTATAATATTAAAATTGGCTAATAATATATATAATAATTTTATAAAAATAAACAATATTATGATTTATTTATTTTTATTTACTATTGATCTTATTTTTTTAAAAAAAAATTATTATATGAAATGAAAGCTCCTTTTTTTGGAAAAAATTATCATTTTTAATATAATTAGAAAAATACCCATATCTCCTTGAAAATAATGAATTTGGTTCTTCTAAATGCTGATGCAACTGGTCTTTCTGTAATGGCAGCAATCACAGTTCTTAGATGCTTGTTAATATCATATGTAAACATTCAATTAATAAAAAATAATGCAAAAAGCTTATTTCGTCGCTACTTGACTCGAATTTTTATTTAAAGATTGGACTAGTTCTTACAAGTTCAAACCATATTTCATTTAACTTTGCTTTATTTCGATAATACTACCATTTTTTGACCTTTATAATAGCGGCTTATTAAATTTTCTCATACAGTATTTTTTTTCTTCTTTGATTCTAGTATCTGTTTAAAGTTTTATTATAGCATGCACACCGAATATGTGTACAAGGTTAGTTGAACATATTGCATTATACAGGGTAGGGTGACAGAGATAAAAAATTGCTAGAATTTATTAATTATTTGACCTGCAATCAACCTTACCAACAAACGCCATAATCAAATAACTGCCTGGAAAATTCAAATTACAAGATCGGGTGTAACGTGAAAATCAAAACAATCGAGTAAACGAAAGATTTAAAATAATGAAACACTAACATTAGTGTTAATATTAGAGTTCATTTAGGGTGAATATATATAAAGTTTAATGAGAAATTAATTTTTATTAAAATGCGAATGGTGGTCTCATAGGCAAGATTTTGAACTACTCATGCTACACTTGACCTTGCTACTTAATCGGTTGCGTCGAATTTTTCAGGATAGTTTTCATTCACAGTCACTCATGTGTCTGATTTTTTTTTTTTTCTTTTGTTGACCTCGATTGTTACTATCAATCGAGGAACACAATTTCTAGCGTATTATATCTCTCGTTTAAATTGGCATCTTACTGAGTGAAATAGTTATGCACAAAATTTTGGCTGTTCCGTGAATTTTACCCAATCCAATTGTAAGATCAATGTGTAACATAAAAATTCAATGTAAAAAAAATAAAGACGAAAAATAACAAGAAACGTAAAAATTCAAACTTGCTATGGAATTAGTTTTCTGTTATTAGTAAAATTTTTCGGCACAAAACTTTAGATGTCACTTCTATTTTATTAATACAAATATTAATATTTAGAAGAAATTAAGATAGTATCATTGTTAAATTAGTCACGAGATCGCCAATTTTTTGCACCATAACTATATCACTCCATGTTACTAACGACACATGTCGCAAGATTTTAAAAGGAGTACGATAAATAATGCGTAAGAACAACGGACAATGCATTACAAATATGCTACATTTTAGAATGAATTTATAAAATCCTCTTGAAATTTTATTCCTTCTCTGAATCTTCTATGATCCTTTTGAGTGTCTTTTTTTTTGGCTTTTTGTCCGATTAGTCAAGATGATACTATAGTTACGTTTTTGATGTATCAATAGTTACTCAATAAATAACGTAATTTTATAACTTGATATCTGTCTCATTGGTTGCGTTTTTAATCCATTTTTAATTTGCATTTAGTGTAATAAAAACATTAAACCTAAAGATGGGTGACGAAACTATTTTTGCGACGACGAAACTTTGACAATTGCGAAACTACTGACGAAATTTATTTAACCAATAAAAATAGAAAATACAGTTGACTCTTTCGACAAGCTTCTTAATAACGACCTCTGGATATTCTGAATCTTAAATTTTTTCAAGATAACTGTTATTCTATCATAATAAATAGGGATGGGTTCAGTTGCATCTATAACTGTAGCAGATATTAGCTGGACTAAACGGCTCAGCCGACTTGCTAAATTATAGATGATGCAAGATTTTTAATATTGTCACAGGTGATTGTGACATGTGACGGGGCTCAACAATTTTCTTTTATTTATTTTTATTTTATTGTTTATTTATTTTATTGCGCATATCTTTTATTTGTTTATTTATAAAAAGTAAAACCATACGATAGGCATCGGGTGAGTTAGAAACTAGTTAGTGCTCGTAAATTGACAAGTGAAATGACACGCCAATTGCATGCAGACTGTGAAGGGCTTATGAGATGCAGGAAGGGACGAAATTGCATCTTGATGTCAAGGGAAATTGAAGGAGTTATATAATGAA